ATTTTCTGACCATTAGCAACATCTTCAGCAACATTCATGTCATCTACCTGACCATCTCCAGGGTTTTTTCTTCGGTAGTCTATAATTCGTATACAGTTATCCACAATATTACATAGTTATACTATACTTCAGACTTGGAAAAATCTATTTTTTTGCCAAATTGAATAGTAGCACACAACATCAACCAAATTCCACAAAAAGTAAAACCATCATCAACGATTCCAGTGAACAAGAACTCAAGTAATTCACACTAATCGCAATCTAAGATCAAGATCATGAGATTTCTTTAAATTTCAGTCAAAATTTTATTTTAACCTTTGTTTGCAGGTTTCTTAGCCGTATGAGGAAGCGAATCAACATGGCGAATTACAAACTCGCTGATCATCACCGTCGGACCATGCAACAACGGCGGAGACGAGTTTCGTAGACGGAGAAGAGACACCACCGTGGTGAGTACATGCCGTCATCTTTTTCGAAGTTGAGAACATACATACCATTGCGGACGGGTCCATTGCGAACTCAGTTGATTGCGACTCATCGTTGTTTGCTTCTTCTTCTTCATTGTCATCTTCTTCTTCTTCTTCTCCATCGACATCTTCATCAACATCTTCTTCCTCTTCCTATGCATCCCTAGAATCACCTTCTGTTACTTACCCGTCCTCTCCATTTACAAAATCTTCATCTGCGTTCCCAGAATCTCCTTCTTTTGCTTCCCTTTTCCATCTTCTACTTCTTCTCCAGGCTTCTCTTTCTCGCTTGTTTCTATCACCACCGATACGGGTTCATCCGATTCCTTCTCCGAATTCCCAGAATATTCTTCTTTTGCTTCTCCTTATCCATCTTCTACTTCTTCTTCGGGCTTATCTTTCTCGCTTGTTTTTGTCACCACCGGTACGAATTCACTCGGTGGATATTGCTTGGTTGGGTCTGTAAATAAGTTATATTCGCCTGGTTTTATTGTAATCTGTTTGTTTTTTATTATAAAATAAATCCAAACTAAAATCATATTATTACGGGAGTATTGGGATATTGACTTTTCTAATAGTATTATCTCAGACATTGATTCGTTTATATTCTCGTTTTAAAAAAATAACTACTCACTGTATTCTAAGATATAATCACCCTCGCTTTTGATAGATAAATATGGTCACGAAATGACTTTTGAAAGCCAAATTGGCAAATTGTAGTAGAGTGACTGATTTTTTGATGATGCACTGTTTTGTTTTAAACCAATAAAAAGTTGTTAAAAGATGACATATATACATTATAATGATGAGATATTCCTGTTTTACAGAATATCAAGGTGGGAGAGACATGCACATCTTTCTTGAATAAGTCCTGTTTTAAAAGTAGATTAGAGATGATTAACCAAAATAAAATACATTTGCGTCAAAAAGGATAAATTATCAAATAAGAATTGAGCATTCGAAGCTTGACACATGGAGATATATAATCACATGCCACCACATAGAGATAACGTATTTATATATGTTCACTGAGACGATTACATTTACACCCCATTTCCTCGTCGACTTCGCGTCACTCAATTTTAATTTTTTGTTCTTAATTTGGACTCTTTTGAGACATTAAGATTCGGAAGAACGAATGAAACTTTTAAGTAAGTTTTGTTCTTAATTTGGACTCTTTTGAGACAGTAAGATTCAGAAGAACGAATGAAACTTTTAAGTAAGTACGTACTAAGCATAAAAATTAGACCGGATCCAAAGAGTACGTAAATGAAGCCAACAACTGGAGTTTCATATTATTAGAGTAAATTGAGTAAATTACACATTTTCTTATATTAACGTAAGACATCCAAAAAACATTAGATCGATCATGACAAAAATCTAGTAACATTCATGATAATTATCTTATCTGTCAATTCTATCGATTTTGAATTTTTTTTAAAAAATCTTTTTCCAACATTTAAATCGAATGTAGTAAAACATGGATTTACGTTAAAAATAAAAATGGATATATTAACATAATATCTCTAATATAAATCACCAAAGTAAAAAATAAAATTATTCTTCTATATATACATTAAAGTAGAAAATGTTACTGTATTTAACAAAACCTACAACAATTAATCAACATGTCGATCTTGAACTACTAATTATAGAACGCATAAATACAATGAGAACTAAAAAAAAAAACCGATTATATGCGGTTTATCATTTAAATATGATTATATGTTATATCTAATTAGTTTGAGATGTACATAAAAAAAGTATTATACGATAAACTTAACAAAAATTATTACATTTATAAAAATAATCATATCTATGAGAGTATAATGTTTTTGAAACTTTATTGAGAATGAATCATACATGCAACTGATTATATACAATATAGTTGGGGATAAATGCAGAAATCCGATGCGTGTAGATAGTGATCCTAGCGATAGCAACACATCCCACCGGAGACCGAACCACATCATCACTTGTCATCGATCAAGTTTTATTATATTAATATAATTTGCTTCTAAATTCTTTAC